TTCTGTACAAAAGTTTTGAGTTCTTCACAAAAGATTTGTTTTTACTTGTTAATGAGATTTATGGCACTAATCTCATTCATAAATTTATTGTATCGTATGTCTAGTTAATTTACTAGCATCCTGTAACACGAAACCATAGATATAGCAGTAAATTTCATTCTTAATAGTAAACTTGAAAATCAGCTGAGTAAACAAAACTATTTTACTTAGCAACTTCTCAAGCACACTTTCTATTCAAATGACAACTTTTTAACCAAATCCATGGAGTGGGTCAAATGGAGTCACCATTTGCACTAGTTCTCAAAAATCTTTTTATGTGTAACTTTAAAGAAGATGATTAAAATGGTATAATGGAGTCAAACCAAACTTTTATAAAAGATATGTTGATAACATTTCTTTTTGATTTTGATCTCATGATTCTATTTATCTTTTAATACCAGACACAAATTATTTATTCTACAATGGAAAAGAAAAATCATATATATAAGGTTTGCATACTTGTCATTCAATTAAGTCTCATCCTTTTACTGTGACTGTTCCTAAGTGCTCCAAATATTCTTGTTTGCCTAGTTTTTTTCCTAAACATCAGTTCTTTGGAATTTGCTCCCTTCATCTTGTTTCCCTAATTCATATAATTTGCTAACTTTTAAGTCGTCTGTTAATTGTTATCTTGCTTTATAAATTTCATCTTTTCTCTTCCATTGAGAACTTTGATAATGTTATAGTGGAATTTTTTAACATAATATATATGGCCGTTAACAATAATTTATACTTTTTTTTTTACATCATTATATGCATCATTTTATTTGTTGTTTTTAGGGATTGAATTTTCCATTATGACAAAGAAAATATGAAAGTACTAGAAAAATCATGAAGCTCAGCATATAATAACATCAGTATGTGCTATGTATATATATATATATATATATATATATATATATATATATATATATATATATATATATATATATATATATATATATATATATATATATATATATATATATATATATATATATATATATATATATTTATATATATTTATATATATGTATATTCACTAGGGTGTTTCATATTTTATCAATTTTTGAAATCGAACTCGCGAATCGATTTATTGACTATTTGTATGAAAATAAGTTTGAGCAAAAAAAATTAAAAAAATTTAAATTTTAGGGTCCCCGCCAGTTTGATTTTGGGCCAAAAATGATGGGTGTTTTAAATGCCTGGCGGGGACCTTGAAATTTATCGAAAATTTTTATTCTTTTTTGGATTGAATATTAATCACATATTTAAATTTCACAGATTTAAATGGAGCATGTTAAAAAAATTAAGAAATTAGTCTACAGAATCTTCTGAAATTGGTGAAAAATCCAAATTTTCCTTCTTAAAAATCTATTTTATCACTCATTCGCGTATAAAAAACATTTTTGATTCTCTAATAAACTGTTTCCAGACGCGGAAAAATCAATAACCTAGATTTTTTTAATAATGAGGTATATATAGATCTAAAAAAAATGAGGTATATGAGGTATATATAGGTCTAAAAAAAAATTTCTTTAATCCTTCGAGGTAACCTAACCCTTACACTAACCTTAATAGCCTAATAACAATTGTTTATTTTAGTTATTTTTATAACAAAAAAGACTCAATGAACTTATTGCAACATGGTTAAAAGTGGTATTGTTGTTATTAATTTTATTGCTTCAAGATTAGAAAGTATATGGTAGCTTTTTAACTTTAAATGATTTTCTTGGTATTGTTGCAAAGTTTTTTTTGGTTTCGTAAAAAATCAAAAAAAAAAAAGAATGATATGTTTAAGTATAATTAAATAAAAAATACATATTTACAAATCAATATTACATCATTAAATAAAAGCCATCATTTAAAAACTATATTATCTATTTTGCAATTGCTTGATATGCTAATTGCAAATCTTCTTTAGTCTTTGCCTTGTTAAGGTTTTCTCTCCTTTGGTGAATAGCTAGCAGTAACTCCTGTCAATCATCTTCATTGTGAACGCTATTTACAAAGTCTGATACAACTTTAATAGATCTTTCAGAAACGTCGTTAACCACTGCAAGGTTGGAAACAAACTAGGAAAAAATCTTAAACTGTTCAATATACTCCCATAGTGGTGCCGGGCTGTTTAACCAAAGTTTATCATTTAGCTTAGTAAGGTTTAACAAACTAAATATGAACCAAGAGTTTTCTCCCACTAGTTGGGCAATACTTGGTGGTTTTTCTAGGTTAAAGTTAAGAGTTTTTAACAAATTTAATTTCTCGGAATGCCGAAAAAATTCAGGAACTGGTTTCGAAAAGTGCATTTTTGCAACATCTTCTCTCTCTGAAACAAAAATACCTTGGTCTAGAAGAGTCAGCGGAATTAAAGTTTCATCAAGGTACCATTAATGTGATTCCATTGAAACCATTGTGGCATCAATTCCATTTAAAATTGTTTCAGAATTCTGAACACATTGTTCTACGTAACCTCTATATTTTGTCATTTGCCAATAGGCTTTTATATCTTGGTAAGGCGCAGCGTAAGGTAAAGAGGTTTTTAAAAACCAGACGGTATAAAAGATTGAGATAAACTCAGCCGTAGACTGCACTTCGTTCTTTTGATTATCTGTCAATTCATAAGAAAGTTGCAAACTCTATATCTGAATCTTGAGATAATAAATAGCTTTGGACATAAAACGTGCATGAGACACACACCCTGGAGCTTGAATTTGAAAATCTCTTTTAGGGCATAAGTACATTAGAGTCAGTTTCAATAACTCCTTGTAGTCTCCTCTGGGAAAAGTGTTTTTTTTTTAGAGCAATCTTGCAATATTTTACAGCATCGAGTCTATGGATTTCTAAGAAAGTGGTAGCAATAGATTGGGTATCATATTTTACAAACTTTGAAGAGTCAATGCTACTTTTAATGTCATTCCAGTTTAATTGGAACTGTTTAAAGAAACCGTTCTAAAAAACCGTTTAGCTTGTCTAGTACCACGATCAATTGCTGGAATGCCAAGGAGCTTTATTTTACCATCAATATTTACCGAGACCGCAAATCAATCTCTTTTTGATTTTATACCTTCTGTGATGTCTTTGATAATTTTTCCATCAAAATGTGCTATTATGGGAAAAGTAGCTTTAGCGGTAGCAATTTTTACATTTTTCTTATATTGTTCAGCATTTTCCCGAATAGATTTTTTTTGAGCTCGCCAAATAGTTGAATGAGACACTGAAAAATCAGCCACATTTCCGCCTGAACTTACAATTAAATCCGTACATACATACACTAGATCTCTTGATGAAATATTTTTTGAGACTGATGTCATGGCAATATCTTTAACAAAACCTTTTCTTAACTCTTGTTTTGCGTTACTTGGGCCGGGTTGCGATAAATCAAAAGAAATATCTGATTCTGTACTCACGTCACTGATATCTGAGAAAAGCTCTAGATCTGTAGTTGATTCGTCTATTTGGGGTAACTGTTTAATATTACAACTTTTTAAAGGCTTCTTATCTTTATTTACCATTTTATATCTCATGTCTTTGCTCAACATAGTATGAAAGTTTATCAAGGCTCGTTTTTTTGAAGATTTCCTTAATATTATCTTTACCGATCCAAAATACCTGCTCCCCCTTCTTTTTGAATTCTTCCCTAGATTTCTCTGCTGCTTTAGAGTCCTTATTCTTACTTTTCTTTAATGTCCCCCAACTATCGATTAAACGAGTAATATTATTTCTGAAAAAATTACGATAATACATTAAATAAAATAGAGATATTAACTTTAAGATGCACCTTATATTTTGTATTATTAAGCTATAATCCACACGTAATAACAACTAAAAAAAATTAGTTGTAGTGGTACTACAAAAAAACCTTAATCATCTACTAGCTTATTAAGTTCAAACGATTATACAAATTTATAATAACTATTTTATTATAAATTGAAATTATAAAACTTACCTTATAGATTTATCCCTTAATAATCCATCTTTATACCCTCCGTCTAACCATTGTTTTTTTACTGCAAAAAGAATACAGTTGTCAGGGCAATATATATATATATATATATATATATATATATATATATATATATATATATATATATTCATTAGTTATGGTCCACCTATTTGGAATCGATTTAGCTGGCCACTCTTTGCAAAATCATCATCAGCTTTTTTTTTATTTTAGACTCATTCTTGGCATCATTTTCAAATATAAGTTGTCAAGCTGATCATTTTTTAAAATCTTAAAAATTTTAAAAAGTATAAACCATATAACATTAACATTAAACATAAAACTCTGGAGCATGAAAGTCATATCCAATTTATGTTTCCATAAATACTTTTTCAGAAAAATAAATCAGGAATAAAAAGTATGATATCAGGAAATCATCAATGAAAATACAGGCAGCCATCTCAATGTTGTCTATATTTAGCTTTTGCCATAAAATGTATCCTATCGTCCCCATTAAAGTTTTGATATTAAAGGAAACCTGAATATGTAAGAAACAACTAGCTCAGTAATAATCAAAATATTGTTAATGGTGTCATATTACAATATTCAAGATTCAAGACCACCAAATAGATAAGAAACAACATCAAATATTAGCATGGCTTTTTGTTGACTCATTTAATAAATCAGTTAAGATTAAGAATTAAGATAACCATGGTAACTCATCGTTATCTTAATACTTAAGACTAAGTATTAAGATAACCAGACTCATGGTAATGGTAAAAGATTATATAATTTATTACATATATTATTATAAAAATGGTAAATAATCACAGTAAAAACAGTAAAATGATGTCATGATGTCATGGACAAAAAAAATGATTGCGCAGAATAAAATGGTTAAACAAAATGTTAATATAGTATAGTATTGTTTATGATCAAGTAATGTGCTTGTGGGTAGGTAATAAATAACTTAAGTTAATAAATAATAAGTATCAGTTTCAACAGTCATGAATATCAAAATAACAAATAAAAATATTCAAACCTATGATTAAACGTGTAAAGTGAACTGTTTATGTAATTTTTTTTATCCCCCAAATTCGATGTTTCATCGCCAAAATTTAATTCAAGCTCCCAAGACAAAGTTGATGCATCAATTTTGAAAACTGAAGAATTAAAGCAGTAAACATCAAGATTCTGAAGAATGAAAACAATATCAAACATTGTATTTTTATATACTTTTTCAGGAACAATAAAATAACTTTTGATTTGAGAAAATATGTTGCATTGAACTAAAAGAAAAAATTATTAAAAATTATAAACTTATCTAAAAATAAAAATATTTTATTACATGTAAATGATTTATGAGTTGCAACCTGATACATTTAAATTAAAATAAAAAATATGTCACAAATTTAATTATGTGTATTCTGTTTTATAAATTATGTTTCATTGGCTAAGAAAATCTTTTGTAAATAAATAATAAATGTATAAATTATTTTATAAGAAATTTAGCAAATATAGTTATAAAATTTTTTTTAATCAAATTTAACAAACTTTCTAAATAAAATAAAACTTTGTTAAATTATTTTACCTGGACAAGTTACATTGTGGTAACAATGAGCAATTTCAATACTGCTTCCAACACATGAACTGATCAAACCATTACATATTCTTGTTCTACTCATAGATCCATTACCACAAGATACATCACAAATAGACCATGCATTCCAATTTCCCCAACCAGATTCAAATCCTAGTAAAAAATGAAAAAAATGTTTTTTTTTTGACAGATTAATATTGAATTATCTATGAACATTATGAGTTTTGGATTTTTATTTATTTTTGGAAGTTTATTGATTATGTTTGTATTAGCTTCAGCTATGTTGATTTATGGTTATGATTATAATTATTTACAACTCAAAATTTATAACTTATGAGACATAGAAAACTAAAATATGATGTAAGTTACATCATTTTTTAGTTTAGGGATGCAGAGTCCTACAAAGGACTCCGTATTTGAAAGTCACAAAAAAATTACTTCTTCATAGTTTTTGGTATCCAGAAGCTCTAAAAATAAAAAAAAGTTTATGGACTACTTATAGAAAAAAAAAATTTTTTTCTATAAGTCCATAAAAAAAAAAAACTTTTAGGTAAGAGGAACAATCACTTTTTGAACCCGGAGTCCAAAAGGTATAATGGCAGCAAGGACTCCGGGACTCCAGGACTCCGGGCTTAAAAACAATAAGTTCCAAGTCATTAAATCACATGAATTTTTTTCTTATAGCAGATCATAAGTCAACAAACATATTTAGAGCTTTTGGACACTGCAGACCTAAAAAAAATAGAGATATAAAGCCGGAGTCCTTTTGGGACTCTGCATCCCTGGATGTAACAAACAAAATGGTGTGTATTCTATATTAATTGTATATGATAATAAAAAATAACTTTATTTAACTTTATTGAAATTTAAACTAATTTCAAACATTAATTAAGTTGTAAATAAATTGAAAAAGTTTTAATTAAAAAACTACAAGATTTTGCAACAATGAAATTTTTTTCTGATGATGGTTTTTAAAAAAAGTTTTGTAAAACAAGATTTTATCCAAATAAAAAAAAAAATTATATCACAATTTACTAAGAATACCAGCTTACCACATATGGTGGTGCCAGTTAGTGGATTTAGTAAATGTTAGAGTTTCATTACTATAACTATTTCATAAAAATTTATTTTTTGCATAAAAAGTTTTAATAATGAAAATATTGCAATTAAAATCAAACTTTTTTAAATTATTTTAATTAGACAAGCTGGATTATGGTCACAACTAATTTATTGTTATCTTACAAAGCATCAAGAGCACATTTTGACAATAAGAATAATTTTAAAAAGCTAAGTTTTTGTATACTTAAAAAACTTACCTGGACATGTTATATTTAGGTAACAACTTGCTATTTCACTGCTGTTTCCAACACATGAATTGACTGCACCAAGACATACTCTTGTTCTATTCATAGTTCCATTACCACAAGATACACCACAATTAGACCAGGCACTCCAACTTCCCCAACTTGACTGAAGCCCTTGTAAAAATCCAAAAAATAAAAATACAAACAAAAATAATCAGGGTAATAATCATAAAACATGTCTGTTTACAAAATACATTTTGTGTCAGGGCAGGTTATCCTATCATAGCAACTGTCAACATGTAAACCAGTACAAACTGTTTCATAAAGTGCTGCCTTGTAAGACTTTTTTAGGCAAATGCTAGGAGAAGCTAACTCTGACTTAACACACCACCTGCCTTGAGGTTCTTGGTTGAGTAAAGGCTAGAGATTATGTCTCAAAAAAAAAATACTTATCTTGGGCAAACATTCAGCTTGTCTTGTAATAGGCCTCCAAGGCAAAGGCTTAAAAAGTAAGCAAATTTTATCTGCTGACTAGCTGCGCACCCCTCCTTCAACTTTTAGACTGATATGATGTATTTACAATTCAAGCCAGTCGTACACCTAGTTTGTCCATGTTTAAAGTAACTTTTTTAGACATGACCCTGGCATTTTGCATTTTTTTAACTTTTAAAGAGTTTCAATAATTCATGGCAAAAAGCTAAACTTATCTACTTAAAAAATAATAATAAAAAAAAGGAAACAAAAATTTTAATGAAATATCAAATTTTAATTAAATAAATTAGAAAAATTTAATAATTAAAAAAAAAAAATAAAAAAAAAAATTTATAAAATTTTTATACACATTTTTTTTTTTTAGGTTGGTGATTATTTTCACCTACAGAACTTGATACAAGTCGAGGAAAAAAACATATTATATTTTATAACAACAATTGAATGTTTTGATATGCAGTTTATAAACAATTTTTACGAGACTAATTTGCTATTTACTCTAAAACTATAAGAAACTTTGTTAATTTTTTTTTTATGTTTATTTGTTTTCATGTCTTTAAGTTTTTAAAAATGTTTTTGCATTTAACATTTTTTTTCAGTACTTATGTAATAGGAAAATCAGAAAATAAATTTCTATTTGTTTGTAAAATACATTAATTGATGAATAAATTTTGTAATTAACGGAAAAAATTAAAAAAAAAGAATAGCTTTTTAAAATTCATTTTCAATACTTGATGCCTGTCTGAAATTTTTTCCTTTATACTGCCCAATTTTCAATGTTAAGACGAATTACTAGATTTTTCAAATTGCTCTGTTTGAAAAAATGTATTTAAAAACTTTTTAAATAAGCTCCAAAAACTTCATCAGGAAATAAACTATCAGATTTAAATGCACAATTTGGAGAATTCAACTAAAGTGCAGACCATATTTATGGAGGTAGTAAAAACAACCAAATATTTTATATTTGAACATTAGTATTAATTACATTTTTATTATTTTACATGAAAAACTTGTTAAAAAATAAAAAATATTTTACAAATAAATAACAATTAGTTTTCTTGCTTTTCTGTGCATTGATAAAACAGTAAAGTTTAGCAAAAACATTTGAGAATTTAGCAAAAGAATTGAGAAGGCTTGTAATACATTGTTCCTAGTATTTACAATTGATCATTCTTGATTCAATTCATGGATTTTATTTGCGTCTCTGTTTTTATGACTAAGCAACTCATTCTATTATCTTTTAATGTGGGTACAGCTCTAAAATTAAGTTTTATGGTTATGAGGCTGAATGGTTGTCAAGATTTCCAAACTCTGAGGTAGCTTTTAGAGAGGCTGACTCCATCGACAGCTGTAAAATATCAAAGTACTAACAGTACCATGTTACGCATGAATGGCGTCCCTGTTCATACTTTTGGTGTGCATTATTGAGGTCACAAGTGAAGCCCTTTTTAATGGTTTAGGTTTTATTAACATTTTTAACATTATTAACAGTTATCAGGCAAATGCTTGGACTATTAGGTAGTGTACTGAATATTATCTGTGCTTGGAGTGAAGTTCTTTAAACAATTTAAAAAATGACTAAAGTATCAAAAACTATAAAAAAAAAACAAAAAACCAATGCCATCACCAAGTTCTCTAAATCTATTATATTCGTGGTCTTTAAAGTAACTTTTTCTTTGAGTATTATCTCTTGCAAAGTTCACCAAACCTACTTGCTCTTTGTAAGACTAATTTGAGCTCAGCTGTCTCATCTTATGAGCTTAGTGTTGATGGTTATCTTCCTTTAATTCGAAAAGATTCCAATAGCCACATGCTTGGCCTGGGTATTTACATTCCTAACAATTTACCCAATTGTTGGGTAGGTAGGTTTGAATCCACAGACTATAGTTTTATGTGCTTTTGTTTAGCACCACTTCACTCAATCACCTTTCTCTTTGTTCTATATTGCTCTCCTTTATCTTAAGACTGCACTTTTTTTGATGTTATTTCTGATCAAATTGACCAAGCTCTTTCTTGTTATCCTTCAGCCAATATTGTTGTTGTTGGTGACTTTAAAGCTAATCACACTGAATGGCTTGGTTCTATTGTCAGTTACTCTGCTGGTGTGAGGATCCACAACTTTTACCTTTCTCAATCTCTAACACAAATAGTCAACTTAGTAAAATACTTCCCAGACAATCCAAATCATTTACCTCCTTCATTCAAAATATGTCATGTTTCTGATCTTAGTCAGTGCTCAGTTACTCTACTTTCACTCTTAGGTGCTTCTGATCATGGTTTGCTCTCCCTAAAACTGTTATCTCATTCTTCTATATCATCAGAACCCTCCTATCATTGAACCTCTTACAACTACCTTATGGCTAACTGGGACTCTTCCCATGATTTTCTTTGTGATGGCCTTTTGATAGAAAACTTTTGTCTTCCTGCGGACAAATGTGCTTCTTATGTTATTTCTTGAATATAGGCTTGCATGGAATCTTTTTTTCCCTCTTGACAATTCCAAGTCAAGCCTCTCTCTTCTCCTTGGTTGTCCTCTCATTGTGTTGCTACAATTTCCAATTGTAAGCATTACTTCCATATATATCACCAAAACAATTCTCCAGAAAACAGACGGTCTGAATACTATTGCTAGTAACAATGGTAAAAATGTTTTGTCTAATGCCAAAACCCGCTATACTCAGGTCACGTAACCTTGTATTTCATCTCAAAAATTTGGCTCCTAAGATAAATAAACTGGAGAATCTCTAAGTGTCTATAATAAAGGCAAACCTTAAATTATAATAGATAAGGATGACTCTTTTAGAGCTGCGATGTGATTCATGTTCAATGAGTTAGAGAGAGTTTTATATTGATAGGTGTATGTTGGACCAGCACCACTGATTACATTGATTAAAGAGAGCTTATTTGATTTGATGAAATTAGTTAGATGATTAGAGAATTTGTTGCATGTTTTATTATAACAGTTCTCAGAATTGTAAACTATTTTGGGATATGATTGTAAATCCCCAGCAATAATACATTCACTTACATTTTCTTAGTTTTTTATGACTGACGTAATTAGGTTTAATTGTTGCATGTACTTTAAAAGGGATTCTAGGTTATTTTGACATGATGTAAGATAACATTACATCTACATTACATCAACCAACCTATCCTGTACCTGTTATTTCACCTCTCTTGCATGGTTCAGATTTTCTTACCTCACCTAAAACCAAAACTGAATCGTATGCTAAGAACTTTTCATCAATCTGGTCTCTTGATCACATCCTAGCTGATATAGCCAACAAACAGGTTGATCCATTGATTGACATTCATATCATTCCAGCTTTTGTATCTCAAGTTATTTTCTGTTTAGACTCTTTTACAGCTTGTGGTCTGAACTACATACCTGATATAGTCTTGCAGAAGTGTTCTCCGCAGTTGCTGCCTATAGTTTCAAAACAATTAATGAAGTGCTTATCAGTCTAGTTTTCCAGCCTGCTGGAAAGCGGCATTTGTTATCCCTATTTTCAAAAATTTAAGAGAGCAATCTGACTCGTCTAACTACCATCCCATTTGTCTTCTTACTATTTTAACAATCTTTTATTTTTTAATTAAAAACTCAACATTTTTGAGCTTTTAATTAACAAACACTCATTTACACTAATTAACAATTATCATCTTGAATCTAAAATTTCTGATCATCAATATGGATTTTGATCTTTTTTGTTCTACTGCTAATTTGTTAATGGTAATAACCAAAAGGTTTTTATTGTGCATTAGATAGACATTTCTAAAGCCTTTGATAAAGCTTGGCATGGTGGTCTTTTCCATAAACTCTCTTCTTATGGTGTATCAAGTAATACCTTCAAGATTATTGAATCCTTCCTTACCAATCGTAGTATAAAAGTTGTCCTCGAGGACAGCACTCTTCTTCATTCCCTGTAACTTCAGGGATTCCTCAAGGTTCTATGCTTGGTCAAATACTTTTTTAATTTACATTACCGATCTACCCAAACCGCTTCTGATGCAATTGCTTTGACTATTAAATAGTGAGTAAAACCTTTAAGTTCTTTAACAAATTCAATGAGTCATCTATTCATTGTCTTCTAGGATTAACTTTTACTTCTGATCTTTCTAGGAAAACCATATATCAAATCGGTTGCAAAATAGCATCTGCTAATGTTGCATTATAGCATTATAGTTCTTTATAGCGCTCGCGACATCTCTATAAATCTCTACTACTAATCTAAACCTCTTATTGTATGAAAGTTGCTATAACTGGAACGAAACTTTAAATGATGTTCTTTTTCTTTTAGACAAGGTGCACAAATGCTTTGTAAACATAGTTGGACCTGTTCTTAAATCCAACCTTGAACCATTCTCACTCAACATAATGTTGCTTCTCTTTCTCTTTTTTTCAAATACTATAATGGGTGCTGCTCTTAGGACTTAGCGTCTCTTGTTATATCTACTAAAATTCATTCTCATGTTACTTGTGATTTAATTAAGTCTTATTGCTTTACTGTGACTGCTCTTAAATGCTCTAAAAATTCTTATTCAACCATTTTTTTATGGAGCATCTAGAACACATTTTAACACAAGAATAAATTAAAAAAGAAAAGTTTTTTTATTGTATACTTAAAAAACTTACCTGGACATGTTGTATTTAGGTAACAACTTGCTATTTCACTGCTGTTTCCAACACATGAATTGACTGCACCAAGACATACTCTTGTTCTGTTCATAGTTCCATTGCCACAAGATACACCACAATTAGACCATGCACTCCAAAATCCCCAACTTGACTGAAGACCTTGTAAAAATGGAAAAGATAAATATACAAACAAAAAGTATACAGTGGAATAAATATAAAACATGTCTTCATACAATATACATAGCAGGGCTTTCAAAAAATCAACTCTACTTTCATTTAAAATAAATTATGGTTAATATACATTCAATTTAAGTGCTGATTAATAGAGATCAAATGACACTGTTATTTTACATAGTATCAGAGCACATTTCAACATCAAGAATGAGTTTAAAAAGCCAAATTTTTTATTGTATACTTAAAAAACTTACCTGGACATGTTATATTTAGGTAACAACTTGCTATTTCACTGCTGTTTCCAACACATGAATTGACTGCACCAAGACATACTCTTGTTCTATTCATAGTTCCATTGCCACAAGATACACTACAATTAGACCATGCACTCCAAAATCCCCAACTTGACTGAAGACCTTGTAAAAATGGAAAAGATAAATATACAAACAAAAAGTATATAGTGGAATAAATATAAAACATGTCTTCATACAATATGCATAGCAGGGCTTTCAAAAAATCAACTCTACTTTCATTTAAAATAAATTATGGTTAATATGCATTCATTTTAAGTGCTGATTAATAGAGATCAAATGACACTGTTATCTTACATAGTATCAGAGCACATTTCAACATCAAGAATGAGTTTAAAAAGCCAAGTTTTTTATTGTATACTTAAAAAAACTTACCTGGACATGTTATATTTAGGTAACAGCTTGCTATTTCACTGCTATTTCCAAAACATGAATCGACTGTACCAAGACATACTCTTGTTCTATTCATAGTTCCATTACCACAATCTACACTACAATTAGACCATGCACTCCAAAATCCCCAACTTGACTGTAGACCTTGTAAAAATGTAAAAAATAAATATACAAAAAAAATATATACAGTGGAATAATTATAAAACATGTCTTTATACAACATGCATAGCAGGGCTTTCAAAAAAACAACTCTGCTTTTATTTAAAATAAACTATATTTAACTTGCTTTAATTGTAAGCGCTGATTATTAGAGATCTAATGACACTGTTATCTTACATAACATCCTAGCACACATTTTAATATCATGAATGAGTTTAAAACGCCAAGTCTTTTGTTGTATACTTAAAAAACTTACCCGGACAAGTTTTATTTAGGTAACAACTTGCTATTTCACTGCTGTTTCCAACACATAAATTGACTGCACCAAGACATACTCTTGTTCTACTCATAGTTCCATTACCACAAGATACACCACAACTAGACCAAGCACTCCAATCAGCCCAACCTAAATCAAACTCTTGTAAAAATGCAAAATAGTTATAAATATTTTTAGCAAACTCATCAAAAGAATTGTTGTGCAATTTACCTTGTATGGCTGAAAAAAGAAATGAACTTGTTTTTAATGAACTCATTTACTTAAATGTTTTAGTTAAGCAAGCCAAAGATAGATAAATCCAATTTAATTTTTATTAGAAGAAATTTGTGACAAAAAAAAGTAAATGGTAATTCATAGCCAAATAGGTTAGAAGAGTGTTTTCATTACCTTTATAAATAAAGTTTTCTCTATGGTCCGAATTAAAAGTAACTTTAAGACCATAACAAAATAACAAGGAAAAACATACATCATCAAAACATGTTGAAAGCTGCTAGTTTATAAGAATTGCTCTTATATTTATATACACTTGCGATTTTACCTTTATTTAAAAGTTTTTATTAGTAAAATATTAAAAACAATATTATTATTATTAAAATATCCTCAAGGCATCATAGCCAAATAGGTAGACTAAAGGTAAACAAGTAGAACAACTTAAGTGTGAAAGTATTAAACAGTTATGCTTGAACTCTATCACTCAGACAAATGTTTAAAAATAAAAATCATCTTGATAAAGTTAAAAAATTCAGAGTTAAAAAACCAAAGTTTAAAAAGTATTTTACACTACTTAAGTTATAATACAAATACAAATTTTACATAAATTTAACAGAAATTACCAACACATAAACCCCACATCCTATCTTTATCATAGTTAGAAGTTGTTCCACACCAATATGCAGTCCAGCCATACATTGTACAGTTGTAGAATAATCTTCCGGAAAACACAAATGGAAAATAGCAACAAGCTCCATTTGAATTTCCACCATATGTTGTTTGCACACAAGAACCTAAAAAGATATTTTATTTTGGTAAAAAAATTCTCTTACACAAAAAGCATATTTTGTTAAATACATATTTTGTTATTCAAAAACATGTTTTGTTAAGTTTTTTTTCATTATGAATTACCCAACTGTGGTACAGTGGTACCATGTCATAAATACAAAAAAACAACTTGTTTTTAAATAAAAACAATTAAAAAATTAAAATATATGTTATGTAAAAACAAGTATGTTTAACACTTTTTTATTATAAATTGCTTGAAAAAAAAACTTTGATCAACCAGGAAAATTTTCGCCCAGGATTGCCCACCTTGAAATGTTTTGCATTTGAAAATATGTTGTTTATAGCAAATTTTTGGAAAAGTTTTGTCTGCTTTTGTTTACTTTTGTATCTATAGGGCCAGTCAAAACATGATGTACTTAAACTAAAATGTGGCTCCCTCTCTCACTCCCAATGTTTTTTAATGAGTTTCAACTGTGATAATGAATAGAGGAATATTCTAATATAAAAGCGGACCAAACAAAACATAAATAAAACAATCAAATGAACAAAATTGAATAAACAAAATAATCAAAACAAACTATATATTCAATTGTTATTTAGTGGTGAAACCAATTTTAAATATGAGGAATAAAGAAATTTTCGATTACTTTATTAAAGGAAAGTATGAGAATAAATATGAAAATTTAATAAGTAAGGAAGCAAAAACCGAAATTTGTATATTGATTTCTCAATTTTATCTGAACTACAATCAGATGAGATTAACCAAAAAATTTATGGAAAACTTTAAAAAGAAATGGAATGAGACAGGTAGACAAAAAGGAAGGTTTATAAATTGTTACAAGAAATGGTTAAATATGGAATTTATTGTAAACCAACCTCAACATCAAGTTAGGATAAAAAATGTACAACAAGGTGCACCTTCAAAATCATTTGAAGATCTCTGAACAAGGTCTAAGAAAAGAAGATCTTCAGAGATTACTGAAAAATTAGTTATCACTGAAAGTCTGTTTCATGCCCTTATTCCTAATCTTAATAAAGAAGGACAATTTAAAGATGCTAAAGTTGTAAAAAATTTGATGGAAAGTAAAACTGATGGATCTTATAATATATCATGATTTAAAAGCTTTAGCTTTAATGTTAGACTGTAAAATGAGTCGGGCTGACTTTCAAACTATCTGTCAAGGGGCCTTAGATAAAGGTTACACGTTATACACTACCTACAATTTTATTGTGAAAGCTAAAAGTGATTGCATTCTAGATTCCGGAATTGTCACATGAAACTACAGCGCTTCTATGAATCTTCAAGGAATAATGGATCACACTACAAACAGAATTTGGAAAGTTATGGATAAATCTAAAATACTTGAGACTTGCAATACTCTTCTTCCTATAAGCAAAGTTGGATTCAATGACTCATCTGGACAGCCTGTTTATAAACAAAGAACTGAAGATGAAGAGGACAATTCAAGAACTTCGAGTTGAATAATCTTTGTTTTTTTTGTGTACATTACCTGTGCAACTTAAAATACAGGAAACTAATGTTATTCTTTGGACTAACTCCAAAACATCCTCAACCCAAATTGTGTCAACTGAACTCAGAACAACAACCATAGGTTTATTTCAAGTCAAGCACAAGTTAGAATGTACTATGATTGATGGAAAAGTTTCCACTCTTCTTTCTCCATTAAGTAATTTTTATCAAGTTTGCAATATATGCGGATTAAATCCTAAACAAATGAATGACTTTGTAATTGCTTAAAATAGACAACCTAATCAGATCAAAATTTTTGGACCTTGGAATTCACAATCTCTATCTCTGGATTCGTTGTTTTGAATGTCTGTTACATATTGGACAGAGAAGAAGACCAGGTTACAATGATTGCGGATTTTTTCATGCAAACACTCCTGAAAAGAAAAAATAGTTGCAAGTCGAATAAAAGAAATTCAGGAAAAAATTAAAGATACACTTGGACTTTTTATTGATACACCAAAAAGAAGTGGCTCTGGTACATCCAATGTAGAAACACAGTGAGAAGGGCATTTAGAAGCCATGAAACTTTTGATGAAATACTTGGAATTGATAAGAATCTTGTTAAAAGATATTTCATTATTCTTTGTGTTTTTTCATAGTATTGTTACAACAAAAAGTGACTTAAAATTTGATCTTTTCATGTTTATTTTACACATTAATATTCGTAATATTTGTAAGAGTACCATAAATCAAGGAAATTATTAAATTTATTTAAATATTGTCATGTAACATGTGTTATATGTTGTGTCTACTTTTTGTCATTGAAGTTGTCCTTGCGTCATACATTATGTCTACTTTTTGTCCTTGTGTCATATGTTATGTCTACTTTTTGTCCTTGGTGTGCTACTCTACATGTTTATACAATCTATCAAGATGTAATAAATGTGTAAATTGTCTTTCAGAGAATATTTAATTACAAGATATTCCAAAAATAATTATATTAAAATAAGCACATTAAATGTAAGCTATGAGGCTGTGTTCATGGTGTTCTGCACATGTATGATATTTATTCATTCAAACAAAAATGTCTCATACATGCTAGTGACTATTTATAGTTAACAGAAAGTTGAAATTTAAATATGAAATATGTATCACACTCTTATTATTTTTTATTTCATTTTCTTTGGTTTCGTGTTATTGGTGTGTCCTTCAGAGATATGACAACCGACATTACAATAATAGATATTGTTGGCCAGGGTGTAATGAACATTCACCAAAAATTTTAGCTTTTTAGCTTCGCTTTTGGCAAAGATATTATTTTTGCCTTAAAAGTGACATTTCTGGACAGCTGTGTGTTGTATTTATGCAGATATTTAAATTTTAAAAATAATAAATAAATTTATCTTAAACTAGTAACAAAAACCCTTTTAACAACGCATTTCAATTTTGTGTTTGGACCTAAGGGCATAGCAAGAATAAACAAAGATGCACTTACTTAGTTCCTCCACCTGGAATTAAATCAGTCTACAAAATTTTTAATATAAAGTCTATATAAGATATCCAAAAGTTTGTTTCTCTGCCTAAAATCCTTGAATGGCGTTCACAATCAAACTTATATTTAGACTATAACTAGATTCAGTTGCTTTGTCTTAAATTAAACCATGTGAACCTGCTGAATTAATAATGATCTCACACTTGATTGCTAAACATTTTATTGTTAGATGTGATGCATGCTAAAGTAATTATAGAATTATAAACAATAATAATAATACTTTTCCTGTAACAACAATTGATATGAAGATACTAGAACATGTAAAGATGCAACAACATGTGACGATACTAGAACATATGAAGATACTAGAACATGTGAAGATGCAATAATATGAGGAAATGTTATAACAGCAGTTATAGTATTAAATAGTCAAATTAGCCATAAAATGGTTTAAGGACCTTGAGTAACAATATAGTCTGGCAAAGAACTTCAGTTTTAAATTATTCTGTTGTTAAAGAAGTTATTTCTTGAAGAACAATTAAATTTTTTTAATTAAAACATTAAAAAACAGTTTCTACATTATCATTAAGTATTTTTTAAAACTAAAAAACTAAATATTTTGTCTTTAAGTATTTTTTTGCAACCAAAAACATTGCATAATTTTTCTTAAAGTAATTTTTTCTAAATTTTTATCATTTATTAGAATATACTTTTAACAACTTTATAAAGTTGTTTATTAATTGAAAAATAGTAGTTTAGGATAATACTCTTAAATTAATTATGAACTTCTTTTTTTTTAAATTTGACAAAAAATTGAAGTTCATAATTATAAATTAATTATGAACTTCAATTTTAAAAAAAATTAAAAAGAAAATTTTAAAATAGATTTGTTTTTCTTTTTTTTTTGGTGCTGAACAAAAAAAAAAAAAAAAATCATTTAAGTATAAGTCGAAAAAAATGCACCCAATTATAAGTTATACAAAAAAAATCCAATTAGTGAATATTCTAGTTTGATTATAAATTAATTAATTTTAATTGCAACTGCTTTTGTAAACTGTTGTTAAATGTAATGCCTTGTTAAAGTGGATTAAATACCTGTACAGGATCGATTGTTGTAACAATTAATTGATTCAATGTTGTTTCCAATGCATGACTTGGTTCTACCAGAACATACCCTTGTTCTATTCATAGTTCCAAAGCCACAAGATGAAGAGCAATTAGACCAACTGCCCCAATCTAACCAGCTAGATTGTAACCCTGCTATAAAATATATTTCATAATTAGATATTAAGTTTTAAATAATCAGTAACAATACTATTTTGCAAAATTTTATATAAAATAATTTATTTATACACCTATAATTATATATTTATAAATTTTTATAAATACATTCATTTAAAACATTAACTCCTAACAAGAGGCTTTTAAACTTTTACTTGATGAAAAACTTTTGCTAATCCTTCTCCTATTAAACCTTTGTTGTTGTTTTTTTAAATATTCACCTCCTTGAGGTCAAGTTGGACTATTATACTACAATTGTTAAAGACTACAATATTGTTATTGTACACCCAAGAGAAGAACCACATTTAAACATCAATCCGAAACAAATAAAACTAAAAAATAATAATGCACAATAAAACCACAAAGCAAACACAAACAAAATTCAGCTTTATTTGAACTTGTTTTCCTCGAGTTTTTTATAAACTAAAGAATCCTTATGTTTCTATATCCATAAATGGTAACATACTTTTCTCAGATTTTTTTCTACTTTCTTAATAGTTTACATTTCTCAGATTTTTTTCTCTCTTAATAGTTTCAATATACAAACCGAATTCAAACTTAGAACCTTGTAATATTGTCTCTAATGTGCTAATCATTACCTTACACTTGATTTTGCATTTTGTCCCTTTAACGTTTTAAATGCCCTAGTATAAATCAACTTTGTGGCATATGTATTGGCTCTTCTAATAATGTTCTGCTTATTTATAAAATGACATTGTGTTTTCATTATTAAGAAATACAAAATGTCGTACAAAATATTTTAAAGTTTCTACTTTTAGTTTCACATTCATAGAAATTTTTTTGTTCTTGAAAATCTTTGCTCACGACACAGCTTTTAGCCACAGCTTTTTACACCATCCTTTTTTTAATCGCTAAAAACATTTCTACTCATAAAAAATTGTGTGTTTTTTGTATCTTCTTTTAATTGATGTCTTGATTGCTTTGATTTGATCAGTTGCTATCTTTTTATACCTTAATTCTTTTTCTATGTAACTTTTATCTTTACTTAAATTTTGCAACATGATTTTAAATTAAACAAACATTACCTGTGCAGTTGCCATAGCAACTCAGTATATCAATTGTATTTCCAACACAAAAATTGATATTAAGGCATACTCTAGTTCTGCTCATAGTACCATTACCACAAGACACAGAGCAATTAGACCATGTTCCCCATTCTGACCAACTCCACTCTGATCCTTTAAAAGTAATTAAATAAAATAAATATTTTAAGTTAATTTAACATATTAATATACAAAATATTTTTGGCGCCTAACATATTAAATACTAAAAAGATTAAATTTATTAAATATATTATATACTTTAAAAAAAAAATTCATCAAACACCCAAGATAATTTTTAAAATACTAAACATATTAAATATTTAATACACAAAAAATATGCATTTAAAGCACATATAAAAAAACAAAAGAAAAAAATTCAGTAAAACTATTTGTATATAACAAACTATAAAAAAATTTACAGATATCAAATTTAATATCAAATTACAGATATTTATAAATAAACATAGAAGCAGGGTTATATCATTTTTAGATTTTTGCATATCAGCCAAAAATGGTCTGTAGCACTAGATTTTATGGTGGTGTCAACTGTGTAAACAAAGAAGAGCTGAGTTTCTAAGTATGAACTCTTTATATAAGTTAATACTTTATCATATCTTTCTCCTAATTTTTCAGCTATTTGCTCAGTTAAAATTTTGCGGTACATTGTACATTCTAGACCCTTTCTGCCAGTTATTGAAAAAAAAAAGTAGCATAAAGGTTCCACGTTTGATGTTTATGTCTCTATTATTATATTTTTTCCTTTAATATCATATATATATGATATACCATATATGAACCTTATTACATACATTATATATAAACACCAGAACTACAATACCATATATGAACCTTATTACATACATTATATATGAACACCAGAACTACAACACCATATATAAACCTTATTACATACACTAGCATTGAAAATATTTTTAATGTTTTAAATTTTATTTTATTTATTTAAAAATTAACTTTAATAATAAAAAAAATAAAAAAGTTATTATTTAAAGTTAATATTTAACTTTTCTCCTTGCAACACCTAAAATGATTAAATGAGTATAGGACTCATCAATTTCAGCTTTTTTTCTCATAGCCCCCCCCCCCCCATAGTCTTTAGCACTTTATTCAGACTTTCTCTATTTTTATCAAACAAACATTTTTATGTAAAATTATTGACAAAAAATAAAACTTGTTCATAACTATAGCAATTTAATAAGACTTCCATTACTTTGGCAGCATTACTTTAAGTGCACTAAGAGTAAAAGAAAATTTAAAAACTTATTTAAAAAAATATATATACTTTAATGTCGGAATGAGTTATACCTAAACAGACACCCCACATTCCATCATTATCAAAACTAGGAGTTGTTGAACACCAATATGAGTCCCAGTCAACTATTGTACAGTTATTATAAACTTGCCCACCATAAATAAATGGAAAATAACAACAAGCTCCGTTAGCATTTCCATCATATGTCGCTTGCATACAACCTATAACAAAATAATCTTAACTTAACATTACAAAGTCAAAAAGTAGTGAATACATAAAAAACATAGTAATAACCATAATAAATAAAAGAAAAAAAAAAGAATGATAACAAAAGAACCTTTGAGTCACATATTTGTGTGCTTGAAAAATAGTACCATTTGTTATGGTACTATTTTTTTTTTAGAAAAAACATTCCTCAGAGTTTTTTTGTTTAATAAAACTTATGCCAATTTTAACCACAACACTTGATTCAACATATTTTAACAAATAGTAATTGTGTAAATTTAAAATATAATACTACTTATATTGTTCATTTAATTTATATTATAATTATGAAACCAAAGTTTTTTACTCAAAATTTCATACTTTTTTAAGTAGCTGAAATAATAAAATGTAAAACTTAAAATAAAAATTATTTTATTTGACCTAAATTTAACCAACCTACCATTAGTTTGCCCACTGCTTATAGTTGAATTGCATTCACTTACATTATTTCCAACCACATAGAACAATAGAACTACAACCTTAAATAAAATAATGTTTAAATTTATTTTAGTGTGTCTACAGGGTACATTTATACAGGGTTGCTCTATTATTACAGGGTACAATTATAGAGAGTAGTTGTAATATTACAGGACACATTTATACAGAGCTGCTGTATTATTACAGGGTATATTTCCGAGGTAAATCATAGGTGGAGGAGGGGGGTAAAGGAGGAGATTGCTCAACTTTGGTGTTGTGTAAAACACAAAGATGTTGTGTGAAAAAGAAAGAAGTAATTAAAATAGAGTGTTTAAAACTGAAATTTTAGTAAAATAGGAAAATGCGAATTTTTACCCTTTTAAATGCTGCACCCCCTCATCCTTCTTACTAGATGGTCTGGATCCACCAAACCAAAAAAAACCTAAAAATTATTCCCATGGCATATATATGCAAGAAAAGCAAATCCCGAAATATCATGTCAATATCTAATGCAGTTTTTTTAAATAATTCTATATTCAATCTCTCCCTCTTTAAGTAAAAGGACTTTTTCATGGTTTTTAATAATTTATTACTTTTAAAAAAGTCGAGTTTAACTTTTTTTAAATAGTAAATGCATTATGGATACTTTTACAAAAAAAAATATTCATAATCTTACTTTTTACTTTTTTACATAATGGCAGACTTAAATTAATCAATTATGTTATCAATTAAAAAATTTTGTGATTGTAAAGAGTAGGACCTTAAAAACTGCTACAAATTCAATTTATAGAAAATTGCTATAAATTAAATTTATAGAAAATTGCTGCAAATTATATTTATAGAAAATTGATATAAATTAAATTTATAGAAAATTGCTACAAATTGAATTTATAGAAAAATGCTACAAATTAAATTTATAGGAAATTGCTACCAGTTAAATTAGATGTTGATCAATTAGATGTACTCAAAATGATTAAAAATATTAGAAAAATTGATTAGAGAGCTTTAGTCATTAGTCACTAAAATGAGCTGGACCAAGATTTTTTTAAATTAATCCCTGATATAAAGTGTCTGTTACCAAAGATGGCATCATTATTATTTAAAACTTTCTTATAAACCTCAACCAAAGAGTGCTGAATAATAAAAACTAAACAAATTAGGGGCCACTAACTTACAATTCTAAAAGATACTTTTAGGTAAACTATTAATAAAAAAAAAATGCTTTTTTCTTTATCTTAAAACTCAGAAATTTTAACAAAACAAATATTTGCAAAAACTTATTTGTTATAAAATGAAATATAACTTTAAAAAAATGATAAATGTTTAATACACACTTTATAGGAAAAACAAAAAAATTTACAATTAAACACTTTACCTAACGTTATAAGAAAAACAAAAAAATATTTTTGTAATTTGTAAATCAAAGTGATTGAGTAATTGAGCTTTGCATAAAATCAATGGCTGTTATATTGATGCAACTTTTTGTGCAACTCCTCATACTTCTATAGATTACAAATTTGTTTTATAAAACAAGTCTACAAACATACATACAAACATCTACAAGGTTTCAAAAACAAGTATAGAAAGTTTCAAATACTTAATTTTTATTTAAATATAAGTCTGCAAACATAAATTATTTTACTTGTTCTTTCGCAACTGTAGGATTTTTTGACCAGAAATTAAACTAAACTCTTTGGCAACCAAAAAGTAAATAATTCTAGGAGAATCAATAAAATAAAATTTAACAATTACAAAATATTGTTTAAAATTTATTTGTTGTCAAAGGTTTTAAATCTTAAAACTTATCACTTATTTTTTGCACAAAGTTCTCAAACCTACAAAACCTACAAAGTTTATTCTCAAACCTACAAAACCTACAAAGTTTATTCTCAAACCTACAAAACCTACAAAGTTTATTCTCAAACCTACAAAACCTACAAAGTTTATTCTCAAACCTACAAAACCTACAAAGTTTATTCTCAAACCTACAAAACCTACAAAGTTTATTCTCAAACCTACAAAACCTACAAAGTTTATTCTCAAACCTACAAAACCTACAAAGTTTATTCTCAAACCTCAGCAAGTAAACTTTCTTGTAATGGTTACAAATAAATTCTATGGGATTTAATTTATTTCTTAAAGACAAAATCTTAGCTTAGATAAAGTTTGGACAGTTGTTTGAATTATTTTCTATTTTTAGATTTCTAAATATATATAAATACAACATTATAAATGAATGTATATATAAGCAACTATTTTTCAGATTGACATATCCGTATTTTAAAATTCAAAGAATTTTAATTTTTTTTTTATTGATACTTTACCTGACTTTTTTATTGATACTTTACCTGAATTTAAGAGAAAGAAAAGCCTATTTTTAAAAAAAAAATCTTGATCCAACTCACTTAAATGATTTATATAATTTTTGAATGAAGATTTCTAATTAACTATTTTTTTTTTTAATTTTTATCCACCATAAAGTAGATCAGCACCAAATTTGATTTGTCGCAGTTGCTAATATAGTGTTTAAGTTAAAATTTTTATAAAACCTTTTAAAAAAAACGTTTTAAAAAAATTTTCAGTTTGATAACAAAATTTACAACTTTAGGCTGCCATTATGGAAAAAAAATCCTAAAAATTAAATCTTTAAATATCTATGGCATAAAATCAACCAAAATCAAAAGTTAATAGCTGTTAAAAACCATAAAAAAACACTTTTTGCTTAAAAAGCCAATATTTATAAAAAATAATTAATTATCTAATTAGTTTTTTTTCAAGAACTGCATAAGGGAAATAAAGATTTCCTACTTTATAGTTCATGAGAAACCTGCTAAAATATTGTCCTGTTTGTATGGAATGACCCTTATCCTAAATTTATAATAATTAAGTGAAACCTAAATATAACAAAATAAAATAAAACCAAAAAAGCAAAATAGTAATACAAGCAATAATAACAATAACAATAATACAAACAATAATAATATTAAGAACAAACAATAACAATTTTAATTAATATTAGAGTTAATAATAATAATAACAATAATAATTATAATAATAATAATAATAATAATAATAATAATAACAGTAATAATAATAATAATAATGATAATAATAATATTAATAATAATAATAATAATAATAATAATAATAATAATAATAATAATAATAATAATAATAATAATAATAATAATAATAATAACAATAATAATAATAATGATAATAATAATGACAATATTATTTAAACATTAAAAGATTAATTTTCTCAACCAAATAATAAATTAAAGTGTTTTTTTTGAGATTATAGTTCCATTTCTCAAATCAACTGGTGTGCCTCAAATATAAATGTTATGATTTAGAAGCTAATTGAAAAAGAATTGCAGAAGAAAATTTCTCAAAATTCAGATAAATTATTCTCTATAAATTTCATCAATTGCCTGATAAATTGTGCCATGACAATGTGTCAAAATACTGATTTAAAAAATTAAAATAATCTATATGAAATTATTTAGAAATAAAGAGTCCTTCTGTTGTATTAATTTAATTTATATATTTAGCTCATTTAAATGCTATTTAAAATCACAATAAAAAAAATTACAATAAAAAATCACAATAAAGAGTTCAAATTTTGATTAAAACAATAAATTTTAATCTTCAGAGAAAAATATAAAAAAAGATAAAGCTATCAGTAAAGCTGTAAAAATTTCCAGATTGAATAGCCGTCCCCAAATTAAAAAGTAGTATGAAGCATGAAGGTGACAAGAGCTCTTGAGGTATCTGCTGCTTTCTAAAGCAGCAGCATACTAGAGGTAGTCCCATTAAAAAAAAAGGAATTTTGATTAGAATGAAGTCAAATATCTAGTTCTGGTATTTGTCACCCTTGGAACAAAAAAAAAAAATTGTACATATTCTTCATAATTTGTTTGCCTAATTTTGTCAAAGTGTTGTTTCTTTTGCTCTACAATAAAAATATGTTGTTTGTGACAATAGAGATAAAAACTTTGCAATGAGAAAATGTTCCAGTTTAAATATACTTGTCACGTGTAAAACATACAAGAATAATTCGAGAATAAATCTTGATCTTCAAAATTTAATGTTGCTACAAATAACAAAGAAGATAAGTAAAAATGATGGAAGATGCTGATGTTACAAATAAGTCACACTGATAGATTTTATAATGTCAAAAATGTCAATTTAAAAGTAGTAATGACACTTTTGAAATGATTTTGTTTATTGTACTGACTTATATACGATAGTAAATGAACTGTGTTTACACTAATAATTAGACTGTATTCTAGATCTTTTTAATTCTATACATGTTGCATTAAATGATTGTCATGAATGTCTTTGGCACATCAGCATAAAATATTTAAACAAGAAACCAGAAGTACACTGTAGTAAAAAAGGCGGTCATACTAGGCATAGTTCGAAATGTAGAGGAAAGTCATCATAATCAGGAAAAAGTTCCCTAACAAAACAGTTATCAGGTATTTCTATAATAGTGATTTTTTTGATAGACTCAACTGCACTTAAGATTTTAAGAAAAGCTGCACTCTATTCTCCAATCAAATATCTGAAGTATATTAAAACCCTGAGGCGGTTTAATGAAGGCAAATTATTTTTAAAATTGTTTTTTTTAATACTTTTTGCAAAAAAATTTAATTCAATTTGTATTGAATATTTTAACTTAATTTGTAATTTTGATTTGTAATTTTGATTTTGAGTTTTGTAATTTTGATTTTTTAATTAAATTTGTATAGCTTTTTATTCAATAAGTATGGAAAATTGTTTAGACGGCAGTCTTCAAGGTTTCAATACATGGCTAATAATATTAGTAATATAATAAACATAATAAATGTATTATATTAGTAACATTATACAGGCTACCAAAATATAATAAACATAATAAATGTATTATATTAGTAACATTATACAGGCTACCAAAAATACAAAATACATACAGCAATATAACCTAAAATTATGTTAATAGTATTAGGCCTAGTATAAGGTTTATCTTTGTTTGATTTAATTGCTGATTTTATTTTGGAGAAAAATTTTTTGTCGA